ATTGTTTGTAGTGTATCTTACAATTTTATATTAACATTAAAGCACAATAAAGCACAATAATAATTTGCATTCCAATATGTTATCTTTACATATATTAAAGAATCCAAACCTGACTACCAAGAACATTAAGCCCTTACCACATTGTGCTAGAAGAAAGTTGCATAAAATGTCTTGTTAAACACAGGATTCCATACAGTAATATACATTCAGATGGCTTTTATTCACTCTCTTTCATAGTCCATTTCGGCTTAAACAATGTTAATTACATATACATTACCTATCTCACTTTCTTCCTGAAGCTAATACGTTATATATATATATATATATATATATATATATATATATATATATATATATATATATATATATATATATTTGAGCATCCAATGTTAATACTGGTACATCAACAACTGTCTAACTACTGTATCTGAAGAGCCACTTATAGAAATCAATACATCCTATTTTACAATAATGTTATATAATACGTGTGTAATCCAATTACTTCTAAAGCATGTCCATGTTATACGATATTGTGTAATCCAGTGGTTTCTTATGTAAATCCTGGCTAGTAGGATTTGTAACAATGTTTCACGTGGGGGAAGTTAGACAACCCGTGTTTCTAAACCCTTTGTATGTTGGCCGACGAAGGTAGCGGTTTCTGCTGTTTGATTCTAACATCCCTTGCAGAGTTAAAGGTATAAATAACGTGATAACTGGTAAACATGGGTTGCCATATTTAGAATGGACGATTAAACTTGGTTGTACTTCCCTTTCCAAATCAAACGAAAAAAAAAATCGCAAAGTGTGTGGATACAATGTGACAGCTATACAAATGCATCTGAAAATCATTTAGTATCATCAAATCAACTTTTTAATGATGGCATTTATACAAATGTTTCTAAATTCGATATAATTTTCATTTTGTTATTGTTATATTTAATAGCACTTTGTATACATGAAATGCCTACATAAAATCATTACACGTTGTGTAGATATGTTAGGCTTCAGTGTAATCAGTTGTCTGTGGTGTTAGCGAATAGAAATTGGGTAATATATACACATAATTGAGCATAAGCGTTTGCTATAGGAAAGATAACTTACTACTAAACTACGATAGTGATCTCATACTTTTGATGATTTCTGATTCCCATTTGGGCACAAACCTGAATTAATTAAAATACAACGATGCAACTACAGTCGTGCGACCCTACAAAACGTAAATTTAGGACACAAGCTGTGTTTCGAGTGATGCTCCAATGTCCAGCATAGTCAGTGTTACTAGGAACCGGATCAGGTGGACAGTGGCGTAGCCAGGATCATCTCATTGGGAGGGAGGTTCAAATTGTTTCCAGCATTATATAAATATATATATATATATATATATATATATATATATATATATATATATATATATATATATATATATATATCTCAAAAACGCATGTGAATTTCCCATAAATACTAATTCGCACTATTATACACATTATACATATTCTATTTTTGAAAGTTTTAAAATTGATTAACAATATTGTCTATATCCCGAGTTAGGCGGTCGTCCAAAATTGACGTCACACTCGTAGGGGGGAGGGGGTCCGTAATTTTGTGACGGTGTGTGATGAGGGGAGGGGGTTTCAGATGGTGCGACGTCACACTTTTGCATTACAAAAAAAAGCAATGTTAGAAAATGAATTTTAGAATTTGTAGACTTTTTGTCGCGTTTTAGAAAACTGTTTTAATGGAGGTGTTGGGGATGAGTGTGTCCGCTCTTGTGTGTCGTCCATAAATGACGTCACACTCATAGGGGGAGGGGGTCGGTAATTTTGTGACGAAGTGTGATGAGGGGGAGGGGGGAGTTCAGATGGTGCGACGTCAAACTTTTGCATTATAAAGAGGAAATGTTAGAAAACGAATTTTAGACGTTATTTTGCGTTTTAGAAAACCGTTTTAATAAATTGCAATAGGAATTGATTGAAATACTCTATTTAGACATATTTCAGACACGATTTTGGAAAAATATCACTGTTAAAAAAAATATTCAACTGCAAATTTTGAGGGCGGTTGTAGGCTGACGTGTGACGAAATTTTAGGGGGGGGGGTCTGGCTTTTTGTGACGACGTGAGACGGAGGGGAGGGGGGGGGAGGAAAAAATCTTCAAAAAAAGCGTGACGTCATTTATGGATGACCCCTTGTCTCGCTTTGTGTAGTTCCTGCATTGTCACTTTCTGACATGAACGGCTTTCTAGTTTTTTTAGGCGTATCGCCAGATTGAGGAACAAATAATACCATTTTTTTTTAATTCTCTCAGTATTTATTATGTAATCACATCGTCCTGCTGTGTTCTAAAGTCTGGTATAGATATATGCTGACACACAGAGGCATCAAACTATACGAGGTCTTTGTAAAAGTAATCATGCTGTTGTTCAAACCACTGGTCAATGTTAAACTCAGGGTAGAAGGAAGAATTTATTTCGCGACTCGCTGTTTCATCAGAATCAGAGCCATGGGTGCAGTTTCTTGTGTCTGTAAGTCCATAAAGGCCTCGGATGCTTTGGGGATCTTCAAACACAGTCTAGAGAACTTTAGTGGGTCCCATCAGCTTCCTCCATCTGGCAATGGCATCATCACCACATAGTACATGACTCCAGATAGGTCCACTGCTCATAAAGGAGACTAATCTGTTTTGAAAGAATTTTCCTTTAAGATGTGAGGATGAGAGACAACATCAGGTTTTAGCAAAGCTAAAGTCAATTGTAGAGGTTTTCTCACAATCATAATTGGTTTTATTGTTTTGTTTATTGATATTGTTTTTGTTTGTTGTTTTTTTTTTGAGTCAACAAATAATAACAAAATCTAAATTACCTCAACAGTATTCGTGACTAGCATCAACTCTAAAAGTAAGCGATCCACTTTGTACTAAATACATTTATCTAATTTTTCTGTGTATGATTGTTTTTATTCGCCAAAATTTTAATTAATATATAAGACATAACTCAAATTTGAGAATAAATTAAAACGTACATTATTTTTCTTTTATATAATTCTGTAATATTTTCTTATAGTGTTTAACATTTTAATAAATATAATAGTTACTCGGTTTGTTCAATTTTTACTGCTGCATGTATGTATTACCTCCCTTAAATCGTTTTAAATGAAGGCGAATATATATATAGCCATGAAATCAAATATTCCGTTAAGTTTAATTTAAATAATTGTACTTGTATCAACCATACCAACCGATTGCACATATTATATTTGTATCCAGCCAAAACTAAGTTCTAAAATCTGACCTTATGTCCATAACATGGAGAGGTACTACTTCTAGATCTGATTAATATCGTTAACATAGATAGGTATCTACATTCAAATCAAGTGCTACGTTTGTATAAGTATTGTGTTTGTAATTTATATTTTAAATTATTTACAGCAACATTAAAACACAATAATATTTGACATGTCAAAATGTAATAAATATGTATTAAATAATTAAAACTAGTCTATGCAGATTGATAGGACAATGTCCATGTTATTTGCATATAAAAAGATGTTAAAGTAGATAAAATGAAACATTAATTCTCATTAATATATAAACAATAAAAAGTTATATCTAAGGGAGATAACGTTAAAAAAAAACTAATCAAGCAACACGGTGTATTAAGAAATATTAAGTAATTAATACTATATAATTATATTATAAAATATGAAACAATTGCATATAGTTGAAATTTAACTAGAACATGAAAATTTAAAAAAAAGCTATTTCAAGTTTTACTTATATTTAATGAATACAAATGATTACGTTTTGCTATTTGATATAAGTAAGATCACTTACTCTTACCACACCTGCCATTTCTGCCATGTTTAAATTTTGTATCACATTCGGGGTACATGAAACGAAACAGCATCGGTATTACAACCCCCTCCCCCCCCATACCACATAAGAGACGACAATACGAGCCCAACGAACACAGTACACCAGGTCAGGAGATGACTGAGACGATACTGTAGGGAATGACAAATGAAGGATCTTACATACACTTAATCATATTAATAGTTTTTGTTTTTTATTAGAAAACAAGTTAATGAAAAGTCTAGTGACAATTTAAGCGCAATTTCCTTAATTAATTTAAAAAAAAAATGTGAAAAAATGATTAGGCCTAACGAAACAAAACCTTGTAATTCTAACTCCCTAACACTCTCATATAAATTATAAATAAATTAATAGGGTACAAAAATAACGTTTGAATTAATAAGTAAAAAAAAAGGCAACTATATTAACCTATATCAACGGAAATAGCTTTATTTTAACGAGTAGGCCTACAAGATGCTCAGTTTAAAATATCATCCTAGGCCTACACGATGCTCAGTTTAAATAATTTTGTAAAAAAAAAATTGTGACCGAACGAAAAGATATTTTTGAAAACTTTCTTCGGCAATATTGTTTTAAATTATGGCAGGAATCGATTGGTACATGTTTCAAGTCGCTAAGTGGTCGGGTTGTCGAGATATGGGCATTTTTTTTGACGTTTTTTTTTGGCTTTTCCGGGAAATCCATGAAAGAAACCCGGAATGTTTATGGGCTATGTTCATCCTCGTAACTTTCTTAACATAATTGCTTTTGGAACTAGTCCTCGATATTGCTTCGTTGAGGAGGAGATACGACTTAAACCTGCGGACACACATTCATCCATCCATTCATCCATCCATCCAGAAATGACGGGTTAATAAACGCAATTCTCCAGAATGGAAATTGCGCTAAAAATGGAGAAGGTAAAATGGCATAATAATGAGACTAAAATAGGATGTGCAGCTGGGGTTTCTTTTGACTGCTTACTTTACTGTGTTCCATGCTATGTTGAGAATTAAATAGTTGACAGAAAGAAATACGACCGTTTTTTTTTGTTTTTTTTTTTTTAATAATCACTCAATTTTTATTGGTGGCTTTATTTCAAATAAAGCCTCAACAAATTTATCATAAATTGTCAAACTATGTACAGTTTTTTATTAAACCATACATCACGTGGCTAAAAACCATTTATTCACACATACTAATTAGTTACTAAGATCCATATACTTCTTGTATTTGATTGATCATACTTTGCCCCCTTTCTCAATAGCTTCCATTTCTTCATTTGACAAGGGTTTCCGATGGTATTTCAGTGGAAGTTGAAATGATTCTATGCTTTGTCCCGAGGAAGGTGATTTATGTCCCATAGGTGTAGCTAGGCTTTCAGATTTTCCTTGTGTGATATTAGCCGTTGTTGATCCCTTGTCTCCAGAAAATTCATTGGCAGTATCTCTGGGTGGAAATTTGATTGAAGGAACATGAGGCTTGACTGCTTGGATAATTTTCCTTGTTGCAGCTGCAGCCGCCATATTATTCTAAATTATAGGAAAACTATGCATTAACTGCGTATTTATTGTTCCTTTTTTTTGTGCGTAATTTTAATACTATAAAAACGTAGACCTAGATTTATGGCCAAATATCATGGCCTATTGATATAGCATTATAGGACAGGACTGTTGTTTAAATTTTAAAGTGTGTTTTGCCTTTTTTTTTTCTTTCAAAATATAAACTACCATAAATGAAATTAATTGACCCACTATTTAAGCGATTCAATTTGTACTAAATACATTTTACTAATTTTTCGGTATATGAGTTTTTAATTTGGCGAAACATTGAATTTTATTTGTTAAGAAAATTTGAGATTTTGAGTAAACATTTAAAGTCGTTTTTTTATCTTTTATATAATTTAGCAATATTTTCTTATTTTAATGAACGTATATATTTACTCAGTCTGTTCATTTTTTTGCAGCTGCATTTGTAAATTACCTCCCTTATATAGTTTTTACTGGAGGCGAATATATTAAAAGCAAAAACATTTATAAGAGATAATAAAATATTAATATTTTCTAAATTAAAATATAATTTCAATTTGGTTTTATCAATAACGTTTTTTTTTTTAAAATATGTAAATGCTATTTGTATTAAATACACATAAGCAGTAAAAATACGTCTAATCATTTGCTATAAGTAATATCACTTTCAAATTATAAAATATTACAAAATGAGTCGCTAAGTTTTATTTCAGATTCCCATTTGGGAACAAATCTAAATTAATAAAAAAAAAAACATTGATGACACAATGGAATAGTCAAAAGTAACATTTTTTTTTAAATTTACCAGTTTTTAAAGAGCCACATTTTTATTTCAATATTTTTGTATTTGATTAGGATTAGTAAATAAATCTGATTTGTCATTTAAAATAAATGGCTTTAACAATGATATAATATTTATTTAAAAACATACACATTTTTTACAAGAATAATAAACTTAATAATCAAATAATATAATTATATGACTATCGTAATCCTCTTTAGAAGCTGTTAACTTTTCTTTGTGCTTTCTTTATCGACATGACCTGTTCAGGAGGTGTCTGCCATTAACCAAGCAGGCCTCAACACGGCAAACTCCGACTAACGGGCTTAGATATTGGTTTGATTACCGTGTATCGGTCGCTTCTGTCCTTTGGTTCTCACCACGCTTATCTGCCCACCCCGTAGGGTAGACTCGTACCCCACCGTCCAGTATCCGGCTCAACGGTAGGAAGCTAATAACTAAAAACCTACGTCACTCACGTTGAATTAAGGATTAGTGACAGATAGGGAAATGCACTATGAATAAAATAACATTTCAAATGTAACGATATTAATACAAAAATGTAATTGCAAAAAATGATCAAACAAAGAAAAGACATTTAGTTATTAGCAGATTGAACGGTATGTTTTCGTATATATATATATATATATATATATATATATATATATATATATATATATATATATATATATATATATATATATATATAATTTATATTTTAAAAAAAAAATGATTTAAACTTGATTTTAGGCGTGAATAAAATAAAAAAAAATAATAAAAAATAGGCGTATTAAGCAAACATAGACAGTAAAACAACATAAATATATTTGTTATAGCCCGGTTCGCTTACTCTCTAACATTGCTATAATTCTCTAGATCTAGTTATTTTTGATCCCCCACAAGGGACAAACCTAAAAAAAATACAAATACAGAGGTGCCACAACAACCGAGCGTACCGACAAAAGGTATCTCTGAGATCGAACTCTTTGCGAGTCTTTTTTTTTAAATATCAATGCCCCGCAACATGTGTGATAAGAGAAACCGGATCAGGTGGATTCACAATTCATTGAAAGTCATATTAAACATAATAATTATAAAAAAAAAAATCTTTTAAACTTGTAGTATATATATATATATATATATATATATATATATATATATATATATATATATATATATATATATATATATATATATATATATATATATATATATATATATATATATGTGTGTGTGTGTGTTTTAAACAGAATAAATATACTATTTCTATTAATTTTTGTCAATAGAAAATACCAATGAGGACTCTTTATGTTTCATAGATCTTTAATTAGGGTTGTATTTGACAAAAAAACTTTTTTTCTATGTGCATAAAGTCAAGAATGAAATGTATGTAGCAGTGTTACTTCATTGTGGATGCGTATTCAAACACAGTATCACTTACATGTATGTGCTAAAATTTCCAGATACAGAAAGCAGAAAAAAAAAAAAGTGTACACCACTCAATGACGTCAGTTTACGTCACGGGCCGCTACAAGTATGCGCCACAAACAAAATAAGTATTTTTGCATTTAAAAATAATATGTTAAAATAGACAAAATGACATATTAATTCACCTTGATATTGACACAATTAAACATAAAGATTAACTTTCAAGGGAGATAACTTAAAAAAACTAAATAATTCAATTAAACAAACTATATAATAAGAAATTCAAACTAATTAATACTATATGTATATCAAATAAATGAAAAAAATAAAAGTAGATTTAAATTTAAATAAAATATTATATTTTCTTTAAAATACTGTTTTAAATCTAACTTATATTCAGTTAATTTAAAACATATTATTACCTTTTGTTATTTGGTATAAGTTAAATCACCTACACTTCACGTTACTCTTTGATAGACTATTGTAATAAATTTTGGATCTCCATTCGGGGACAAGACAAAACAGCATCGGTATTACACCACCCACCCTCCCACCTCATTTTACAGAACAGACTACACCAGGGGTCGGCAACCTGCGGCTCTATTGATATCAAGATGCGGCTCTCCAGCTCCTTGAACAAATACTAATAATCTTAATAAAAAAATAAAATATTTGAAATAAAAAAAATGTTAGTGGCTCTTTAAAACCAGGGAAATTTTGAAAATTGTAACTTTTGGCTCTTCCGCTTCAAAAGGTTACCGACCCCTGGACTACACCAGGGGTCGGAAGCCTTTAGAGACGGAAGAGCCAAAATTTGCAAATTACAAAAGTTCCCAGTTTTCAAAGAGCCACAAACATTTTTATTTCAATATTATGGTTTTTGATAGGATATGGATATAATAGTTTGCAATAGTCGCTCATTTAATCGAATCAGGTGCGTCCTCCGGCGTCTCTGCAGGGTGCAATTTGGCGCCCAAAGATATCCCGCGAATACTATACGCCTATGTTAGTTTTAAAAAGCACCCTACAATAACGAAATTCGACTTTTCGTCTCCGACACTTAGGCTGAGAGTGATTAACGGTGATATTACGGTGAGTGATTAATGTACACTAAAGGCATTTTTAAATAGAACGCCCAATAGCGTGCTGGGCGGTAGTGTAGTTAAACCGACAAATATGATACAAGTAAAGGCATTGTTTACATTTAAATAACTCAATTTTAGAATACAAGGAAGTATATTGAAAAGGAGTAACTAAATATATTAATAGATTAGCAAGTGTTTATTAATTACATTTATTATTATATCGTGCATTATCGAGTGTTGCAGATAAATATTTTTATGAGTTTTAATTTTTTTTTTTTAAAGTATTTACATGTGTGCATGGAGCTGAAGAGCCACATCTTAACATCAAAAGAGCCGCATTTTTCATCTATAGTAGGTTATTAATGCAGTTAGATGTAGCATTGTTTTCTCTTTAGTTAGCAGTAGGCCTATACGTCATTGGGTTACCCCCCCCCCCCCCCCCCTCCTAGCGTGTTGGGATTTTTACAATTTTTACTTTTTAAGACTTTTTCATTCTAATTAAGCAATTATTAAGTGGCAAAAACAATTGTTTATCTACATATTTTTTTGCAATTTGTTCGTCTTGGTGTCACCACTTTGGCAATATGTTCGCTTCCATTTAAAAAAAAGGGAGGTAGTTTATAAACCCACCTGCAAAACATAGACACACTGAACAAATGAATACGTTTATTAAAAGGCAGTAAAAAATTGTTATAAATTATACAAAACTAAAGAAAAAAACGTATTAAATTATAGTCAAATTTGATTTAAGTCTAAACTTTTTTTTGTGGGGGGGGGGGGGGGTTATATAACACCGAAGATATGTATTGAAAAAACTCTGGCCCCCGAACTGATATTTGATAGTTAATGCGGCCCTCGGTCTGAAAAGTTTGGAGACCCCTGTACTAAACGATCATTTTGTATTGGATGCACACCATTTTTAGGCCCATAAAAATCAGATATAATTCATTGAGTACGACATTAGGCAGATACTATATTTTACTTATATAATAGTTCAAAAACGTTGAAATAGACACGTCATAGTTTAGTTCAATGATCCGCAAGACATAAAACGTTCTTGACTAGATAGTGTAAATAGAGGTGTTAATCTGGAAGCTAATGAGCCACTATGCAACATTTTCACCACCGCGAATGATTAAAATATAGGGCTAGTTTAAGGAGGGGGCTCAGAATTGATGGTTCCTCCAGGGCGCCGAAATAGATCTTTACGCCTTTGTATATACTGTAAATGCTGTCTTTAATATAATAAAATATATTAAATAGCATGCACTTTTTAATAATTGCGATTACACATTGTTATGGAAATGGTTGGTATGATAGATCAATATGAATATTACAGAGACCCTTTTCCAACGGTCGTTTTCGTCTCTGGCCATGGGTAGTTACAATGTCAACTTTTGGCTTCACAGCTGAGGATGGAGCACAGTTAAGCAGTCAAAAGGAACAATATATTAGACACATGTATACTTTCTTAACATAACAGGCTAATAAGGGAGGTGTAAAGCGTCGGGATTTATATATATATATATATATATATATATATATATATATATATATATATATATATATATATATATATATATATATATATCGATTGTGTGTAAGATTACAATACTTAATATGTAATTAATATACACGAGAGCCAAAAAAGACATTGCAAGTAATATTTTCTTCCAGGTGAGATCCCATTCCCAAACAACACACCACGTGTATTAACCATCACTTGCATATGTATACACCATGTGTGT